ATACGCCTCCCCTCCATGGTGAACATATCCCAATAGACCTTACCGTTTATTCACTTTTCACCCTATGGCCTCGTTTTCGTGTCAAATACTGTACTTACTCATGTTTTGTGCTTAGTTGGGTTGAAAATTACTTTGTTAATATTCAGCCCGTGAAAGACAGCAAAAAACAAATTCGTCCAAGAAAACATGGGAATATAATCTTTATCTGCCCCTGACATGCTAAAATAAGTTAACACGAAAACGAGGCCATTGGGTAAAAGAGAATAATCGGTAAGGTCCATTACATTCTTACCCTGGCGTCACATATATTTCAAATTTGGATACACAAAATACGCGACCCTTAAGCGGGGTAGGACCTGGGGGTGCTTGAACTGATCGATAGTCAGATAATGTCACAGGGGGGTCACAAAGCACTGTCACGTGACGGAGAGATGAGAATTGATTGTGGAAATTCGTACCACGTGAAGTAGAGAGATCGTGGACAGTAGGGGTGGACCATTAGATATCCTGGGAGGGGGTGGCAGATCCAAAAAAAATTCATGCATTAAGGAGTTGGACTAAAAAGAACTGATTCCTGCAAGTACTTGGGGAAAGAAAAAAAATTGTGCAACTTCATGAGAAATCCAAGTGAAACTTATTGAGCGCGGGCAGTTTAGTAACTAACAGTATGGCTCATTTTGAGATATTATAACTTTACAGTACTTGTGAGTCGGACATTTAATAACGTCAATAACATTATACATCGAAAACAAGTTTATATATAGAGCATATCAGACCCGTAACTAGCTGTAAGTCAACCGCGTCAGTTGACTCGGCAACATTTTTTGTGCCGAAAAAATACAAAACAGGAAGACTTCAAGTTGAGAGAAAACAGATCTTGAATGAAATCTATTCAATTTCTGACAGGAATGGATCCAGCATGATCTGGTTGGGGAGGGGAGGAGGGGAGGGTTGCCCTGCCAGCTCTGGTGCCGAGTTGTGTCGGTCATGTGTGCTGCCTGCCCATCAACTTGCTTGACTACTGCAATGCCAAAGTCTTGCTTGACTACTGTATTTGAATTGTAATTGTTGTTCACAGTTTGCTTATCATCATGTTATTACTCAAATTACTGTATCTCGTTTTGTCACATACCTCCGCACCGTAAATCCGGAAAGGCATGAATTCTAGTCTGTCGTGAATTATTAAAATCGTGCCGAGAAAAATAAATTGGTTTTTCCTTCACATGCCTTTTGTGTGTGTGTGTGTGTGT